CTCTGAATTTGCTGTGTAATTCTTATACATCAATTCAAAAAAGTAATAAGACCTTAGGTCATTTAAAACATATTTCTTGTTCTATTAAATCTATGAAATTTAAAATGTACTGTTACCTTATTCTGAAGAGGCTTGTTTACATCGCTAAAGTATGTAAAAATGTCATGTTTCAACAGATAATTTTGTTTACAATTATCATTCTAATTGTTGCAATTATGTACAGTTGTAAATGAAAAAAGTGGGGAAAAAATGAAAAGAAAAACCGCTTTGAAGAAGAGTGTGGGATGTATATTTGTTGTGTAATACTAGAAGTATTTGGATATGAAAACCATAGTGACATTCCTATTTTTTAAGGGTAATTAGCTAATTGGATACTTGATGGTGTATATTTAGAACATTGCATATTGTGGAAATCCATACTAATGAACATTCATGACTTACTAGATCCTATATAGGTACTTGTGTATGTTACTTTCTAAAGCATACTCACAGCTGGCATGTTACACATACTTTCATATCATGGCTTTATAATCTATGGTTTTTTTGTTTTTTTTTACAAAATTTTGCTAGAATTTTTCAAAAATACATCCGACCCCTGTATATAGGTCAAGGTGATGTTACAGTTTTTCAAGGTTATTCCTGTTTTTCAATAAATAATTTTACCGATTTTCAAGTCTAAGAAATGTCAACAGAAAATGTTTTCATGGATTCCATCAAATGATGGTCAGAGATTGAGACCATTTCCCAGATGGTTTAAAGTGAAAGAATTAATCTAAATTAATCTAGATTATGCCAACACACAATTGTAAAGAAATGGTAAAAACAGGGGAGATAACAACAGTATTCAGAAAGTCTGAATTTCTGTATTTGTCCATTTTTGGCATTATTACTGACTAATTTTACAATGTACCATGGGGCACCGTAAGAAATTTTGCATGGTAATACTTATGCATCAGAATAGGATTATCACATTACAACAGTCTGACTTTTTCTTTACCTACTGGACAGCCAATTAAAATGATATTTGAAATTTCATACAAATTCAAAATCACAAATACCTTTAAATAATCACTAATTATCTGACTATATAGGAAATAGATACTTTTGACTATATGATATTGTTCACTCTGTCACAGTGTATCAGTTATATCACATAACAGCGGAAATGAACATCAGTCATATTTTTATCATGAAGATCTGTAGACAGGCAATAATAATTGTAATACTACCTATGCAAGAGAGAGGTGTTTTTGTGGTTGGGATGTAAATTTGGTTTGAGGGAAAGAGATATAAAGTTTGAAAGGAGTGGTAACTTAAGTATACAACTTTGAAGGGAAGGTATCTGATGTGAACATTTGGAGGAAAAGATAAGTTTGTTGTGAGGATTTGCAGAGGGAGAGTGATGTAAGGGTCCCAAAAGGGAGATAACTTAACTTGTGGGTTTGGAGAGGTGTATCTGGTGTGAGCATTCAGAGGGGGAGATAACTTTGATGTCATGGAAAAGTGATTAGGTTCAGAAGGGGAGATAACTGAAGCATGAAGGTATAGAGAGGAGGTATATGGTGTAAGCATTTAAAGGAGGTAAATTTTGGTTTGTTATGAGAGGGAGAGAGATATAAAGGTTTAGAAGGAGAGATACCTAATACCAGATTGGATTTTACACAAAAGATAGCTGGTGCAAGCATTAAAAGTGAGAAAGTGGGGGAGGAGGGGGAATTCATTTCATTTGAAGGTTTAAATCAGAACAATTTGTTAAAAGTGCAGAACTGAAATATTGTTTTCATGCAATGTCATGCATTACGCTCTTGCAACAGAAAGCACACTTAGGTTTTTGTAGATACCTGCACACCACAGAGTGTTACAACAGCATTAAAAAAACTGTAATAAGAGATCAAGTTTTGAGAAACTTTCTGATAGTTTTGGTCAGAAACAAAATATTTCATTAAAATCATGCCGGTTACATACTTCAAAATTCAAAATAAAACTGCAAAGCAAATTTTAGTAGGGGGAATACTCTAGCAAGTTGATATCAGTGCATGCTGCTTCCCTGACGACAACGCTAAAGCCTTGGTATGCCCCCCTCGTGGAATTATCAGTTATAAATCTGTGCAATACTAAAGAATACGTCACAAAACAGCGACACGTATTTAAATGTTTGTTGACATTGGTTCAAAGTCTTATTTCATTTTTATGTATACATTTCTTATCTATAATAAAAAAAGTGAGTCACATTCTGTACCAATTTACCCGGAGGTTCACTAACTAGTATGTATTGTTGTCTGCGACCAATCACACGTTTTATACAAGAATGCTGTGAAACATTATTTACAAATTAACAAAAGGCTTTGTATTGCCTTTTCTGCAACTTCGTTTTTTAGCAGTGTACAAGAGAAAACATCCCACCACTTTACAATACAGCGTATTTGTACATTTGAAGATTTCTATAGTGAAGGACCCTCTTTAAGTATGTTCTAGCTTGGGAACCTTAACTTTTCTAAAAATACAATTAATTGCTTTACTGGTATTGTGCAATCATGTACAGCAAAGATGTGAAACTGGTTCTTAGTCCATTGATAATGAAGTCTTACGTCTCTTTGGCTGCAGCGATAGCTGAGTCTGACGAGAGCTAGCTTATGTATCCTCAGGTGTAGAACCCAGGTGTATGGTTCGAAGCTTCCTACCTGTGGTGGTTCTTGTTTCCTAGGTAACTGAGAAATGAATTGGTGTCATGATGGTGTCCTTGGGCAAAACACTTTACCTCCATTGCTCTAAATAGCAATAAAAATTTGCAAATTCTTTGGTAGGACTTGAATAAAGGATGACTTGGAATATTTGTCAAATGCATATTGAGGGCTTCATTTGTTCTTAGCAAAATATAAACCTCTGATTGTCACAATGGTAGTTTTCAACATACAAAACAGTTTATTGGCATTTTATTGGACAGAATTTGAAGAAAAATGATATAATATTCCTCATAAAATGCTACATAAATGAGGGAAACTTCATTTAGCCCCCCCCCCCCCACTTCAGTATAAATACATCTATGACTGAACAGGACAAAATGTCTTATCATTAATCAGTATAGAATATCTTTTTAAATCAAAGTTTTTGCTTAGTGCTAATGCCAGATGATGTTTTTCTTTATCATGTGTCAGTAGTTTTGATCAAATGTCATTTTGAATCAAGGAAGGCCTTTCTTCTAATCAATCAGCCTGTTTGATAAAAAAAAACAACCCATTTTCAATAGGGAAAGAGAAATCATGGTTTGGAGAAAATGGCTAGCTAATCAGGATTAGAGAAAATGGCTGACAAAATCAGAAATTTTTGCATAGTAGAACCAAGAAAAGCAAGAAATAAAGGACAATAGGCCATGTCTACTGGAATCAAATAACAAACCTTGGAGTGTTTCAAATATCATGTAAATGCTTTCCCATCAGTCTAGGAGTAATTCATAACTTAAACAGTAAACATGATTCTTTCATCAATTGAAAGGCCACAGTAAACTGCAACATTTTGTTGAAATGTTCCTCCTTTAGTGTTCGGTGTTTGGGAATATTCATATCTTTATGAAATATGAACATTAATTTTGCCTCTCCATTGAACGGTATTCCATACATATTCATCTTTATATAATCACCAACTTAATTACTACATTCAAAATCAATTCTATATATTTGGCAAGAAACCAAATGACTGACTTTGCATGCATTAGGAAATGAATTTTAGTCAAGAGTTTTACACTCAGAATAATTCTGCATTATAAACAAACAGATGAGGAACAGATCGGTACATGTTGAGATCCTGTTTTGTTGTTCAAGGTTACATCCCCATATTAAAGTACAGGTATTGGAAGGCCGTACACAGACAATTAGACAACATACACTGTGCAGCCTATATAACAGCCATTTATCACACCCATTTACATTTGTATAGAAAAGTGGAAAGCAGTCCATTATAATATTCAAAAGCAACAAATGGTGTACATTTAAAGAATTAGCATAGAGTTGAAAGGTGGACTAGGCTACAATGATCTAGTACAATGGGTATGGTGCGATACACAATAGAGGTAGCGTCACGCTGTCAGCGTGTTCTACCTCAGGCACAGACAAATCATACCAATTCCCTGACTATAAAAAAACATAATTGGTACAATTTAAAGATATCTTTTCACCAAATAAAACCATATATTCTACAATATACATATTGCATTACACAAAATGTTTATGAGAGTTTGAAAAATTTAGACAACTTCCAGTATGAAAAAACGAACATCAATGTTTCTTGCAAAATTATAAAGAATATATGAGATATGTTCATTACTTTTCTGTCAATATTTTCGAGGTCCCTGATTACGTGCCAAATGTAGCAAAGATGATTTTATTCTTGATGCATCGGTTAAGGATTGACCTCTGGACCTCCGACTTATTTCTGTAACAATTGAGAGTAACTGTTCCTTAGTCCAGTAGGTGGGGAGCAGCTCGTATAAAAGATGGACTGTATAACAAAGAAATGAAGACAACCTCACATATCACCCACCTATCTAAAACCACAACAACATGTGAAGGGAGCTGACCAGGCATGTGAATGAGCCTAAGTTATGGGTGTGAGTTATCTGTATTTCCACCAGGTGTACGACCAGGTGTTCTCCAAGTTTATAGGAAGAGCTATACCGACTGATTTTGACCAACCACATTTGTTGACAATGACCACTGTTCAAATGTAGTCAGGGATTACTTGACCACACATTATGTAACTATTAAAATTAATCACAAACTCTCTCTGTAAATCACACAAGGTATTCCCTCAACCATTGGTACTGATGAAACTTCAACTAGCACTAGGTAATTTCTCCATGGGACACATAAATCTCTGTGTAAGTGTATGAATGTGTGTGTGTTGGTGGAGGAGGGGGGAAAATACCACCATTTCTGAAATGGACCATAATTAATTGTAATATAGTTACATCATAATGATATCGACTGATGAAGAAGAAGTCTGCATCCCTATAATAACCGAGGCTCATGCAATGTTGTGTATACCGAGCTGTGGAGCAGCAATGTATTCACATATCACATCAGCCCAGGTGAGTATAGAAATGCTTTCCAACACTGAGGTTCGATGTCCGACTCATCAATCAGCACTATGTGAAAACAATCATTTGTGATATGGGACGTAGTTGCTTAGTGGTTAGTGCATTGTCAGTTTCATCAATGGATGTCCCATGAACAGCTCTTATCATTGAACGCCTGTATACAATATACCTGTTATAAAGAAAAGATGTGTTTAAATTTCTACTCAAAATGAACTTGTCTGTTCTACCTAAAATGTATAGTTTGTGTGACACTTTTATTCATGACTAGTCCTGTCAATTCCAAATTGTGATTGAAACATTGCTGTATACATATCTTGCGGAATATTGATTTATATTATGTTTTTCTCAACAGAGAGGAGGTACTAATCATAAGGAGCGAAGGAGAGCAAGTTCATTGAGAAAAGGAACGAGTATTAACTTGTCAGTCTAATGAAGAGATTTGAAGTTCATCAACTAAAACCCACTAAATTCACCAGTCCACAACTTGACAGAAGGACAATTCAATGCAAGTTATGGATCTCAATACACAATGACCTTGACCTGATGGCTTGCCATAAGTAGGTCAGCGACTATCAAGAGTGAGTCAACCAGACAAAAGAGGAACACTGATAGCAATATATAGATAATAGTTTAATAGATTAAAATAGCATCCTGTGTGCAGGAGCACGTATACATATACCACCAAGGTACCAGGTAAGGATATTATTAATCAGATACATAGATATTCAGGTAATACTCATACTTAAAGGTCAGCTTCATCCTAGTCAGTTTCAGTACCTAATATATATTCAATCATCATTGTCATGTACAGTGCCACAGACTGTCTGACCTGACCTGGTTTTAACTTACGTGATCTTATCTAACTCGATCTGATCCATTAAGACCTGGTCAAACCTTCCATGAAATCATAAGAATTTACAAGGGTTGTAGCCATGACTGCATAAACTACAACTAAAGGTTGTAGTCATGACTATATAAACTACAACTAAAGTTGTAGTCATGACTATATAAACTACAACAATAGGTTGTAGTCATGACTGCATAAACTACAACAATAGGTTGTAGTCATGACTACATAACCTACAACTAAAGGTTGTAGACATGACTGCATAAACTACAACAATAGGTTGTAGTCATGACTACATAACCTACAACTAAAGGTTGTAGTCATGACTACATAAACTACAACTAAAGGTTGTAGTCATGACTACATAAACTACAACAAAAGGTTATAGTCATGACTATATAAACTACAACTAAAGGTTGTAGTCATGACTACATAAACTACAACTAAAGGTTGTAGTCATGACTACATAAACTACAACTAAAGGTTGTAGTCATGACTACATAAACTACAACAAAAGGTTATAGTCATGACTATATAAACTACAACTAAAGGTTGTAGTCATGACTACATAAACTACAACTAAAGGTTGTAGTCATGACTACATAAACTACAACTAAAGGTTGTAGTCATGACTATATAAACTACAACTAAAGGTTGTAGTCATGACTACATAAACTACAACTAAAGGTTGTAGTCATGACTATATAAACTACAACTAAAGTTGTAGTCATGACTATATAAACTACAACAATAGGTTGTAGTCATGACTGCATAAACTACAACAATAGGTTGTAGTCATGACTACATAACCTACAACTAAAGGTTGTAGACATGACTGCATAAACTACAACAATAGGTTGTAGTCATGACTGCATAAACTACAACAATAGGTTGTAGTCATGACTACATAACCTACAACTAAAGGTTGTAGTCATGACTACATAAACTACAACTAAAGGTTGTAGTCATGACTACATAAACTACAACAAAAGGTTATAGTCATGACTATATAAACTACAACTAAAGGTTGTAGTCATGACTACATAAACTACAACAATAGGTTGTAGTCATGACTGCATAAACTACAACAATAGGTTGTAGTCATGACTGCATAAACTACAACAATAGGTTGTAGTCATGACTACATAACCTACAACTAAAGGTTGTAGTCATGACTACATAAACTACAACAAAAGGTTGTAGTCATGACTATATAAACTACAACTAAAGGTTGTAGTCATGACTACATAAACTACAACAATAGGTTGTAGTCATGACTACATAAACTACAACAAAAGGTTATAGTCATGACTATATAAACTACAACTAAAGGTTGTAGTCATGACTACATAAACTACAACAATAGGTTGTAGTCACGACTACATAAACTACAACTAAAGGTTGTAGACATGACTGCATAAACTACAACTTAAGGTTGTAGTCATGACTACATAAACTACAACAAAAGGTTGTAGTCATGACTATATAAACTACAACTTAAGGTTGTAGTCATGACTACATAAACTACAACTAAAGGTTGTAGTCATGACTATATAAACTACAACTAAAGGTTGTAGTCATGACTACATAAACTACAACTAAAGGTTGTAGTCATGACTACATAAACTACAACAATAGGTGGAACTCATGATGATAGAAGTACAACTGCAGGTTTTTGTCACGATTATGTAAATTATAACTGATTATGCAAACTACATCCATAGAAATTTTTCTGATTAAGTAAACATCAACCATAGTTTTTCCTCTCAATTATGTAAACTACGGCCACAGGTTCTCATTCTGATTACGTAACTACAGCCATAACTTAAGTTGTCGTACAGGTGACATAAACTTAGTACAGATAAAGGCATCAAAAAGATAAAAGAGATGCGTGGACTCCATTCTACCTTTTGTCTTGGTCAAGCAATGATTCCGAGTCCAATAGGAACAGATCAGGTGGAGATAATCAACACCGAATTGATTTGGAAATAGCAGGAAATCAGCAGGTTAAAGTTTCGGTAATGTATTCAGAACATGAACTGAATGCACTACTAATCAAAACAAGACACGATTGGTTACACATGCATCAGGAAATACAACGATTGTATCAAACCTGACATATATGTACTACCAATATAGTATTTACACCTCAAAGTCTGCACAAAAACCTCTCATCTTTTTAATGTACAATCAATAAGGAAGTGAAATATTCAATCACATATTTAGATTTTCTCAACATATTAGTAAACAAGGTCAGATAGTTGAAGGTCTTGTAAATGCCAGATGAGCCTTATCAAAACTCTGTCTTTAAAATTAGAAGCAGACCTGACTTTGCAAGCTATTGTAAACAGAACAAACAACAAAGAAAAAAGCCAATATTTTCACTGGACGTAAATTAATCTAAAACAAATATATCGGACAATACAAGTTGTCAGGGTAACCAAGGTCTGAATATCACCCTATAGATCCTCTCTCGTAGTTCTAAACCGTTGTCAAATAGGAAACCTAGTCACTTGATACCAGGTTACTTATTTCAGTTTGAGTATTGAGCTGTTGTTAATGGATTGAAAAAACAATAAAATGTCAAACTGAGCATAGCTCATTATTCAAGTCTATAATTTGCATATAATTACTAACAATCTCCCTCCCCTGGAAACCAGCATTTCATTAGCATTGTAAAGCAATGTTTGTTAAACTTGATCAAAACATTTAATGGTTTCTCAATGTTTAACAAAAAATGGTATAAGAAAAACATGATAATTTTAAGACAATAACGATTTAAAGTTAGTGATAATCAGTAGGAACCTGATGCCGTGGAAATTTATTTTATAGTTGTGCTTAAAAAATAACATATATCGCTGATGCTATAGAAACCATTAATAAATGGGATGTCATCAATTGTATCTATGACAACTAAGTGGTTGGTCCAAAACAGCTTTAGTAGGTATGAATGTCATTACTTGTTGGTGGCTTTTAAATCATGAATTCTCACCAGGAAGACTGCATACAAATATGTGTAAAAATATGAATGCTGTTAGTTCGTATTTGTAGGTCAATTACAAATTCTCACTGCAAAGGTTGTGCCTTTATATTAAGTATGAATGTCATAAAGTTGGCTGGTTAATTACAAACTCTCACTACAAAGGCTGTGCCTTTATATAAAGTATGAATGCCATAAAGTTGGCTGGTTAATTACAAATTCTCACTACAAAGGCTGTACCTTTATATAAAGTATGAATGCCATAAAGTTGGCTGGTTAATTACAAATTCTCACTACAAAGGCTGTACCAGTGTAGATGGTATGACTGTAGTTAGCCCTTGATGGCTGGTTAATTACAAATTCTCACTGGGAAGGTTGTACCAGTGTAGATGGTATGACTGTAGTTAGTCCTTGATGGCTGGTTAATTACAAATTCTCACTGGGAAGGTTGTACCAGTGTAGATGGTATGACTGTAGTTAGCCCTTGATGGCTGGTTAATTACAAATTCTCACTACAACGGTTGTACCAGTGTAGATGGTATGACTGTAGTTAGCCCTTGATGGCTGGTTAATTACTAATTCTCACTGGGAAGGTTGTACCAGTGTAGATGGTATGAGTGTAGTTAGTCCTTGATGGCTGGTTAATTACAAATTCTCACTGGGAAGGTTGTACCAGTGTAGATGGTATGACTAGTTAGTCCTTGATGGCTGGTTAATTACAAATTCTCACTGGGAGGTAGGAGGTATGAATGTTGTTCTTGTTAGAGGTAAAATCACAATTTTAACTACCTGGCAAATGTTACATGCGTGCTATAGATTCTGGTGAGTGACATGTTTATACGTGACTTCAGCATGAAGACTCCTGTATCTGGCTGTATGTTATTGTAGCAGATTAATGCTGGGCTCTTGCAGATCAAAGAGATCTACCTTTCTGCAGTGCATTACCAGGAATAAACTGTGCTACATGTACTCTGACAGGATCTTCAGCCTTACCTAGCTATCACAGGGTTCCACAGAAGAGTCTAGTCTGCCAGAGTGTCAAGTACACTACACAACTTGTTATATGTAATATCACCAAAGAGAAATGTCAGGTTGAAACCACACAGGAATATGTCAGAATTTGTTTTATCTCTGGTTGCCAGACGATTTGGTGACAATTTTTTTTGTTAAAGTGCGAAAGTGGAGGTGGAATCTATGGTTAGATCAATGTTCCCTCCTGAAACTGCCGACAAGAAATCTGGAGACAATGATTAGAATGACTGAAGCTACGTCCGTCATTAGTGATTTGTGGTGCTAATTTACTGTGACATTCAAAATCTCTGACCAGTGCTGATCAGGGAATCTTAAAACAAAATCTTGTCTCAAACGTTTTCTAAAAATGTTTTAAAACAAAAATAAAGAAATTCTTAATCATTCTTTGATGGTTACAGATTCATGTGGACACCAGACATATTCCAAACTTAAAAGATATCGAAAATTTCTGTGGAGTACTTGAAGCGGAAAATTCTGAAACTATCAACTCTTCCAACTGTTCAGGTCCAGAATGGATGGGGATATTGAAATCCTTGACCAGTGTCCAGAGGAAAGAGGTGACAAGTTGCTGACCACGAGATAGTGAAATTAGGTGACTTTGTAATTATGGACCTTGTCAGTGGGGTTTTGTTCTGATCCATTTTGATGTGGTCAGTCCCTCTGTCTAATGACTACTGTACAGTAAACCAAAGTCTGGTTAACTTTCCGTGATAGAAAAAAAGTCTTTCCTTAAAGATCAATACAAATATGGCAAAAATTAAGCAAATTTCGAGAATAGGCTAAATTTCTGTCAATGTTTTGCTGTGAATTTTAAGACATTTAGATAGAAAACCAATTTGTGTGGTTGTATCTCAGTAAGGTGTTAAGCACATCAAGCTATCTAGTCATGGACTAAATCACAAAATCAATGGAAATCTCTGTCTGGAGAGTCCTCTTCTCTCAATTGTCCCTGGCAACCGAAACAGAAAGTAAAATTGACCATCTGCGAGACACTTGTTTCCACAATGTCGGGGAGCTAGTGGACAGTGACTGAGCTAGACGTTTCCGGGCTATTAGATGTCTGGGTGGACATAACAAATGTCTACCAGGAACCAATTAGTCCTGTTCAATTGTACAGCTAACACCATGAAAGGTTTCATCTGGTTCTATATTACAGGACTATTAAAGAGGACTTTTTATAGTAAACTCCTTATATGGTTATCACTGTAAATCGAACACATTAAAGGTTTCATCTGGTTCTTTGTCACAGGACTATTAAAGAGGACTTTTTATAGTAACACCATGAAAGGTTTCATCTGGTTCTATACTACAGGACTATTAAAGAGGACTTTTTATAGTAACACATTAAAGGTTTCATCTGGTTCTATACTACAGGACTATTAAAGAGGACTTTTTATAGTAACACAATGAAAGGTTTCATCTGGTTCTATACTACAGGACTATTAAAGAGGACTTTTTATAGTAACACATTAAAGGTTTCATCTGGTTCTATATTACAGGACTATTAAAGAGGACTTTTTATAGTAACACATAAAAGGTTTCATCTGGTTCTATATTACAGGACTATTAAAGAGGACTTTTTATAGTAACACATTAAAGGTTTCATCTGGTTCTATACTACAGGACTATTAAAGAGGACTTTTTATAGTAACACAATGAAAGGTTTCATCTGGTTCTATATTACAGGACTATTAAAGAGGACTTTTTATAGTAACACCATGAAAGGTTTCATCTGGTTCTATATTACAGGACTATTAAAGAGGACTTTTTATAGTAACACAATGAAAGGTTTCATCTGGTTCTATATTACAGGACTATTAAAGAGGACTTTTTATAGTAACACATTAAAGGTTTCATCTGGTTCTATACTACAGGACTATTAAAGAGGACTTTTTATAGTAACACCATGAAAGGTTTCATCTGGTTCTATATTACAGGACTATTAAAGAGGACTTTTTATAGTAACACCATGAAAGGTTTCATCTGGTTCTTTGTCACAGGACTATTAAAGAGGACTTTTTATATTAACACATTAAAGGTTTCATCTGGTTCTATATTACAGGACTATTAAAGAGGACTTTTTATAGTAACACATTAAAGGTTTCATCTGGTTCTATACTACAGGACTATTAAAGAGGACTTTTTATAGTAACACCATGAAAGGTTTCATCTGGTTCTATATTACAGGACTATTAAAGAGGACTTTTTATATTAACACATTAAAGGTTTCATCTGGTTCTATATTACAGGACTATTAAAGAGGACTCTTTATATTAACACATTAAAGGTTTCATCTGGTTCTTTGTCACAGGACTATTAAAGAGGACTTTTTATAGTAACACAATGAAAGGTTTCATCTGGTTCTATATTACAGGACTATTAAAGAGGACTCTTTATAGTAACACCATGAAAGGTTTCATCTGGTTCTTTGTCACAGGACTATTAAAGAGGACTTTTTATAGTAACACAATGAAAGGTTTCATCTGGTTCTATATTACAGGACTATTAAAGAGGACTCTTTATAGTAACACCATGAAAGGTTTCATCTGGTTCTATATTACAGGACTATTAAAGAGGACTCTTTATATTAACACATTAAAGGTTTCATCTGGTTCTATATTACAGGACTATTAAAGAGGACTCTTTATAGTAACACCATGAAAGGTTTCATCTGGTTCTATATTACAGGACTATTAAAGAGGACTTTTTATAGTAACACCATGAAAGGTTTCATCTGGTTCTATATTACAGGACTATTAAAGAGGACTTTTTATAGTAACACATTAAAGGTTTCATCTGGTTCTATATTACAGGACTATTAAAGAGGACTTTTTATAGTAACACAATGAAAGGTTTCATCTGGTTCTATATTACAGGACTATTAAAGAGGACTTTTTATAATAACTCCTTATATGGTTATCACTGTAAATCAAACACATTACAGGTTTCATCTGGTTCCATATTACAGAAATACTGACTTGGAAATAATTCAAATTAATTAATTAATTAAATCCTTTATCATGTATTGTCCTTTACTACTGATATCTGATTTTTCTTTGCCCTGTGTTTGAAATTTGAACTTCGTCTTTGTAAACGTGACATTAAAATGAAGGATGAAATTTCCTTTTTTACCACATCTTTACTTAAGTGTTTAAGTGTATACCCTAGCTGTCACCGTTTAAGCTATAAACCGTTTTGCTTGTTTTTCTGGGTGTATCGTCCTCTCAACTGACAAGGTCGTCTAGTAGAAGCTGGTGGCTTCTTCACTGATCAAAATATGAGAGGTCCGTCTAATGCCAACCACAGCAATAGGAGTTTAGTGTCTTCTAGTGTAAGGCCACAACCAAAGTGACAACACAGACCAATCTGTTTTTCAATGGGAGCTGAGAAACAGACTGGTATGTGTTGTTGTGTCCTGGGTTAAGACACTTTACCCTAGTTAATTACAAATAAAATGCAAAAAGACTCTTGTGTTTTTGTTCAGTAAGGTTGCTTAGGAATATTTTTTCTCAATGACACATTTGAACATACTGAAACTCTTCTATGAATTCAACAATATTTCAAATTATAATTATGCCTACAATTTTTCACCAAGATTTGTATTAAGTGAAACTGTCACAGGAAACGTCCTCCCACCTGTTCTAGAGTGATGTGAAGGGTATAGGGTATAAATGGCACAATGATCTCTGTCAACTCCCATGAAGAGGTCATGACATTAGGGCCGTTTTCCTCTATCATTATACAATGACCTCGGAAAGAAACATTTAAACCACAATAAAAATCTCCGCATGTGACACGAGGAAATGTTTAAATAAAAATCCCCATCCGTGTCATAATGAAAAAAATCAATTACAAACGACAGACCAACAAGGGTCCATTTTATGACCAAATCACCATCATCTATAGGTTTAGTGTCGTGTCATACATAATCTAAATGTATTGCAAACTTGAAGAGTCTCCTTGACGGAGATCAGGTGCCGTATTAGTGTGCCTGTGTGACTCTGATAGGACAGAGAAAACCTCTTATTATGGACATTGTGCAGGTAACAATGTTAAAAAGGGCTAGTGGGCACTGCAATCTTTTGTGATTAGCAAGTACTTAGGTAAATACGGTATGCCATTAGTGAATCACAAACGACTTAGGGGCACAACAATGACCTACAATTATTGTCAGGTGAATGGGATGTAGGTAGTAAGCAAGGTACTTACTACCTTAATTAGAACAGATTAGTCCCGAGTGTTATAAAACTGGAGCAATATTGTTGATTAGTTGCTCTCTATACTGCTTTACCTTCTCCATAGTAAAATGGATCTGGGGCTTTTTGTGTAAGACTTGATATATGGTACAGAATGGTCGGTCCTACCCCAAGCCTGAATTACCTTGATCGGTTTGATCAGGTAGGACCTATACAGAAAACTGCCTCCCACAGAGGAAATGGTTTTGAACATTATTCTTTTCTTTGAATCTTTGACAGTTTCATTCCTTACCATTCCTTTCATCACTAAACTGGCCAGTGATGTCAGGTCATATGCTTATTCACATCGTAAGACACTTGTGTAATGAAACTATTGTGACATCATCAATAAGTCATGTCCTGATGACTTCACATGATTGGCTTCGTAGTGTAAACACATATCATCATAGTCAACATTAGAAATTAACTGGAGAATTTTGGTTCATTTTTTCAGAAGCATGAGCTAAAAGATAAAAGTATTCTTAATGAGTGTCTATGTAATATGAAATTTATTGTCTCACGAAATAATTCAATACGTCACTCGCCTCCAGACTCACTGCTATATCATATAATTGAAATCTTGTATAAACAGAAAACATCTGTCTCTACCCTAACTCCTCCCTATAAAACAAATGCTTGGGATTTTACACAAAGCCTTTTCAACAACTTTTTTCTTCCTTTTTTTCAGAAGAGGATTCAACGAGGCTTCCTCCCATGTCTGAATAGCTACAATGATTGAACAGATATTTGATTGGATAACACAAGGGTTCAACATATTGGTAATTACCTCCCTTGGTGGGGGGAGTGGCTGAAGTCAGACTGTTATCCAACACACACATGCATGCTGGGAGATATCTGTGGTCATGTCCTTGACATGATTCCAGACAAAACTATGCTATGTAAGCCCAAGGACGAACATGGCTCAGGTTTTGTGTTTACTGGGAAATGAGAAAAATGCATGTTGAGTTGATTGTTCTGTCACCTGTGGTCAAAAGGCCAGGTGTGTCTACCTGGGGAGATACCTGCCCAGGTAAAAAAAAAAACTAAACATGAAGTCAGCCTTTAGATGTAACCTTTGATAATCTTTATGAGAAGTGTGCCGTTGTCAGCGTGGACATGCTAATCCTTTAAATCTAATAAAAGACACTATCACCTAGGTGTGAGAGAGTAATATTAGGTAACAGTTCATAATATATTAAGCAATGCTCACAAAACATAATGCTATTTTTTTCTAATCATGTGTTTATCATTTAGTGTTCCAGTCAACTAAACATGTTAAATTCCAACTGCAGTTGTAATCCCTGATATGGAAAATAAGGTTATCATAATCTTCCTTTGATCTTAGGACTCAAGGCTATTATCATAAAGATTTAAAATACAGATGAATTAGGTAATTATGAACATTTCTACATAATATAGAATGTTTCTTTCATTGAAGTTAATCTTGTCAAGTTTGCCACAATCTAAGCTGCCGTTTAATCTGTCAAATATCTTGCGTATTGTACAAAACTTATTAGATGAAACATGATGTCATTGTCAAAAATATTGAAATGTGCATTGATAACAAAACTCGAATAACATGTAGCAAAGACTAATTGAGATCTGAACAAATAACATTAAAGATCTATATACTTATCACGAGAAATAAATACATCTAATTATATAAATGGTACTAAATACAAAATAATTATTACCAGGAAGCGTCAGATAATTTTAGATATTGTCCTATAGATCATGTGCTTTTTAAAGAATGTGTTTTATCTGTCTTATAAACAACACAATACCCCAAACTAATGACGAAATAATGAGAAACTTAGAGTGAGGATAATCAGCTGTTTGCTAAATATAATACAAGGATATCTTCCTATGTGTTAAACATCTCTCAGACTTAGGGAAGAAAAATAAAAGATTTTTAGAAAAGTTGCAGTGAAATATATATATTGCAAAGACTACAAAGAAAATACAGACAAATGAACAAAATTGTAATCAAAAGACAAAACTGATGAAATGGGAGCAAAATAATATGAAAAAAAAAAAAATTCACTGAGACAAAAAGTACAAGATGATGTGTTCAGGAAGGGTGTCTTTGCTTAATTGGTAACATTCGATAGGTTATGTTTGGTTGCTCCAATTTAGTTATGTCACATTTTCAAATGCACAACAGAACTACACAGTGTACTGAAGGGTATCAGAGCTATCTTACTGCATATTGAACAAGGAAATGGAAAAATTCCCTATGAGATTTTTCCTATAGACTTGATCAACCTGTATCTCACCAATCCCTTTCTGACGAGTCTATTAGTCAGCTGTGGATATCTTTTATGAAGTCATGATATTGGGAACAAGTCCTTAAATATCAATAAACTGCAACAAGTAACTCCTACTGGCTGGAGAAGCAGGGGTATATTACTATCTATAAATGGAAAATTCACAATGGGAGAAGCTGTCCCTTTTGGCTTTGCTGTATGAGAAAATGTAGGTAATAATCTGATGAAAGTCTATTGTGTCCTTGGTGAATATATATGGTGATAGACCAAGCCAGTAATTTAAAATTTAGACATCATAAATATATCTTGATGTGAAATTAACAGACTACTGACAATATCTTTTCGCCCTGCTTTGATAAAGTCTTTGATTAATTCAGAGGAGTAAGGTTATATATTTCCGAAGGTGTGTTGATAGTCTGTTGGAAAACCTTGCCACCAAACACAATGATAGTAATCAGAATATTATATAAATGTTAATACTTCTACTATATCTCAATGAGATTAAATGAGAAAAGCTTTCTAATTATAACCCAACTTATCAATATTATCAAAGAACGTTATACAGAAACTGTTTCCAACTCCATTTATCAAAATCCTCGTACATTGTATTGAATAAAAACTGTTTCTAAGCTCTGATCAATGCCATAACGGCCATCATTGTACCTGGTTCTAATCGATACTGGATTCAGGTGCTGTTCAATGTCAGTATGCCCTATGGAACAAAGTGGTATCATTACCGCTTAGATAAGGCCATTTCCAAAAATAATGCTTTTTTCACATTGTAATTATATCAGTTGACTAGTACTCTAATATCCATATATCATTCTATCTCAGAAACGATCATTAAGTAGACATTTATTAATATACTTTCCAAACAGCGATGGTCAAATGCTTTATCCGAAGGCAAGTTTCGCTTTCCAGCTTTTATTCCTTTTTTTTTGAATTTTATTGCTTAATCAATATATGTGGTGATAAAGAAGTTCAATATGCAAATTCAGTGTTATGTGTTCGCTTAGCTTTAAATACCTCCATAGAAAACCATTATTTTTGGAAGCAAGTTTACCTTGCTTCAATAGCTGATTATATCCTAAATCGCCATGGTAACATGTCAAGATTTTCTTCATTCTGATTATGGCTTTCAATGTTTGAAGTCTTGGCTTAATGTCTGCTTTCAGACATAACCTTTTTCTGTCTTCATAATGGTCTCCAATTGCTACATTTAGAAGCAGAACTCCAGTTCTAATGGTATTACACGGGTATGATAATGGACCTCATAGACCATAGACTACTGTCATAACACCTCATTAGCTTTGATGGCTGTACATTAACAGGCCCAGGGGACCTGTTGAAAGGTCTGAAAAATTAAATATTACAGATGCAAGACTTACAAGTCAGCAAAATGTACTATACAAAGAAAAACTTACATAATGATGAAAGTCAGCATCTCAACTGATAATCTAGAAACTTACACACTCTTAAAGATCGTAAAATTGTTTAATCTAGACTCTCAGCGTCACAAGGTCTTGGTCCAAGAAAATAGCACCTGGCCACCTACGGTTCTAACTTTTGTAAAAACGTCATCTTGGCCCAAAAAATATCACCTTCATAGTTAGGGTTCTTACCTTGCAAGGTGTCCAACTTATTTAAATCATGTGTAATTCAGCTTGTACATACATAGATGGTGTAAAATGCTGTTTCGAGTACAAATAGTGAGTTGAACATCCCCAGTTTCTCAAGTTCTCCAATATGTTCTGTCATCTGGGAATGCAGTTTTAGTCTATATCACAAACAGAATCCCATACACAGCCAAATACCAGGTAATAGTATATCTTCTTAAGTAAATATCTAATTCTTTTTTATGGTACATCAATATAAATTTATAAATGTTTGTTTTGTTGTATGCCTATCTGGTATGCAAAACAAAGTGTACAACCAGATCTGGTATGCACCCTCTGATATCATTAAATTTTCTTAATGTTTCTGAAGTTAACATGTAAAAGTACAACACTGTAAGATATACAACATACCAGTCAAAATCATAAGTCTAAACAAGATGAAAGAAATGGAAGTTTTTCCAGAACCTGAGAAGATTCTGAAATATCTTAAACTTGTCTGACACATATTGGTCAAGGTCATTTATATAAGGAAATCTGTAGGTGCTCCATCCCAGGCACTTGCTTATGATACTTCAGAAGAAGATTTTTATATGTTACAAACATATGTGACCCCTGTGACCTTGAAAAGCGGTCAATGTCTTTTTAAAGAGGAAACTTTGTAGTACATCATCTCAGGTACTGTCTGACCAAGTATCAGTCTTCTCCATCTCCAGCCACTTAAGAAAATCATTCTTCATGTGTTTTAATATATTTGACCCCCTATGACCTTCAAAATAGCTTCAGGTCATTTTATCACACTGTCCTACATATCTACTTGCTCAATTGTTAAACTCATGGACACTTTTGGCACTTCAAATGAAAATGCCTCAAGTTTTAAACTCATTTTATCCCTGTTACCTTGAAAATTGGTCCAGGTTATTCATTATATAGGTATATAAGGAAACTTTGTAGTGCACTATCTCTTCTGACGAAATATCAGTACCCTGGTTTTCTGGAACTTCAGATGAATATCTTGAAATATTATTTTTTTATATTTGACCTCTGTCACATTGAAATTAAGTCAAGGTTATCTATATGGAGAAATTTTGAGGTACCTATTGGCAAAATATTAGACCTCTGGGTCTATAACGTGAGAACAACAAATAATCAGCTGGACAATATGAGTTCAGTCTTTTGTATTTATGCCCTCTTGGTCACCTGTAAAATCTGGGCTCATCTACAGCCAGACACTACTTACCTGGAATATATTATAATGTACATCCTATTTATTAGCTAAGTACATCTGATCATAACAAAATAACAATCAATGTTGTCAATGTTGTCATAAAGATATTCCTACAAGGCATCGTAGGGTAATGGACATTTTCATATAGTGTAATAGATCACAGTTGTGTGTGGTGTCACAGAGGCTACAGTATATGGTGACATAGGGGATACTTCATCAGAGTTCAGAAAAGTGTAGAGGAAGTTAGACTGGGGTCAGTGTCAGGAGTCCTCATCATAAATGTGTAGGTAGAGGATGTACTATAGAAGAGTCCTCGTCATAGATGTGTAGGTAGAGGATACATCAAGTGTACTATAGAGGGGTCCTCGTCATAGATGTGTAGGTAGAGGATACATCAAGTGTAATATAGAGGAGTCCTTGCCATAGATATGTAGGTAGAGGATACATCAAGTGTAATATAGAGGAGTCCTTTCCTTGTCATAAATGTGTAGGTAGAGGATGTACTATAGAGGAGTCCTCATCATAAATGTGTAGGTAGAGGATGTACTATAGAGGAGTCCTCATCATAAATGTGTAGGTAGAGGATGTACTATAGAGGAGTCCTCATCATAAATGTGTAGGTAGAGGATGTACTATAGAGGAGTCCTTGTCATAGATGTGTAGGTAGAGGATACATCAATTGTACTATAGAGGAGTCCTCATCATACATGTGTAGGTAGAGGATGTACTATAGAGGAGTCCTCATCATAAATGTGTAGGTAGAGGATGTACTATAGAGGAGTCCTTTCCTCGTCATAGATGTGTAGGTAGAGGATGTACTATAGAGGAGTCCTCATCATAAATGTGTAGGTAGAGGATGTACTATAGAGGAGTCCTCATCATAGATGTGTAGGTAGAGGATGTACTATAGAGGAGTCCTCATCATAAATGTGTAGGTAGAGGATGTACTATAGAGGAGTCCTTTCCTCGTCATAGATGTGTAGGTAGAGGATGTACTATAGAGGAGTCCTCATCATAAATGTGTAGGTAGAGGATGTACTATAGAGGAGTCCTTTCCTCGTCATAGATATGTAGGTAGAGGATACATCAAGTGTAATATAGAGGAGTCCTTTCCTCGTCATAGATGTGTAGGTAGAGGATGTACTATAGAGGAGTCCTCATCATAAATGTGTAGGTAGAGGATGTACTATAGAGGAGTCCTTTCCTTGTCATAGATGTGTAGGTAGAGGATGTACTATAGAGGAGTCCTCATCATAAATGTGTAGGTAGAGGATGTACTATAGAGGAGTCCTCATCATAAATGTGTAGGTAGAGGATGTACTATAGAGGAGTCCTTTCCTCGTCATAGATGTGTAGGTAGAGGATGTACTATAGAGGAGTCCTCATCATAAATGTGTAGGTAGAGGATGTACTATAGAGGAGTCCTCATCATAAATGTGTAGGTAGAGGATGTACTATAGAGGAGTCCTTTCCTCGTCATAGATGTGTAGGTAGAGGATACATCAATTGTACTATAGAGGAGTCCTTTCCTCGTCATAGATGTGTAGGTAGAGGATACATCAAGTGTACTATAGAGGAGTCCTTTCCTCATCATAGATGTGTAGGTAGAGGATACATCAAGTGTACTACAGAGGAGTCCTTTCCTCATCATAGATGTGTAGGTAGAGGATACATCAAGTGTACTATTGAGGAGTCCTTTCATAGATGTATAGGTAGAGAATACATCATGTGTACATTTCTCATCAAACCCCATCATAGTGCCAATATCATGTTAATCTTGGCTGTAGATCATGACTATATGATGATTGGTCGAATAAAACTGACACAATATTATTGTACGCCATCATCAACCCTCCTCAGTTACAGCCCAATAATCCTGTACATTCTGACAGAAAGATAAATTTCTGGAGAGGTAACGAACTAGTTGTATTATTATTATTCATAAAAAACATACCATCGACTAGAGTGTGTATCCACTAACACCCATATCTTCATCTCTCCTGTCATTCATACTGAACCTAAGAGTAACCAAGGGTGACATATTCTACTGTAAAGTACTAATGCCCCAATATTTGTATACTGATGATAGACCTAGACACTTTTCCATAGTCCATCCTGCTGTATTCTATATTCAGGGACCAAGGGGAACCTATATATGAAATTTAAAAAAGATTTATCCAGCGTTCAAAAGATTAATCCAATGTCCATAGACTCAAGGTGATTTTGAATTGCCCACCAATAAGTTTGTGGGCAGAAAAAATTATTGATCGGGGCATCCCTGTAAGTTTTCCACCATTATTTTGTGAAAGATTATAGTAATATGAAAACCTCTTGCTGTGTGTATCCCTATCTATGCAACATTGAATTATACCCAGTCTACTACAGTGCTTCCTGTCTCCGTTTCTACACCAGAAGTAATTCTTTGCTGCCCTGAGCATGCCCAGGGTCACTTCACAGGCCTAATGACATTTACTATGATTACTTTAGTTACAGAAAGGTCTGATGTTGCCACAGGTCCACAAAAATCAAATATTCTCAACGCTGACCACCACTAGAGTGATAACTCGTCTGAGCCAAGTACAGCTTCTTCCCAATAGTCAGAGTAATTCCGGTAAATAATTCAATTTACGCTCAAAGAAAATGAATTCTAAACCAATTTTTGACAAGAGATTGTGCTTGGTCAGCACTTACGTCCCTGTCAGGTCATTATGTTGGCCAAAACAGATTACTCTGGTACTCGTGTCGAAGTTTCTTGCTGAATTTATCTTTCTTTATCACAGCAGATTTCTAGTAAAACTGTCTTTATGTTCCTCTTCGAAAGATTCAGATTCAATTCCTTAAGTCAACATTCAACACCGAGAACTCTTCATCTTTTTTTGCCAGGAGTTTGGCAAATATCAAACTGACCAATTTCAAATCTTAAATGAGACAAATTACATTTCATAATTTTAATTACTGCTCTTCCAGGGCTGAAATATGACATGGCTAAAATAATCTTTTTTGGGTTCTTACACATAATGACAGTGTTTGTACCTCGTGAAATAAAACCCCTATATATCATAGTCATTATCAAAAGTTCACTAACATGACATACTATTTTGTAGAACGCTTAATACCATGTAACAATTACAGGACAAAAATCACATGGAAAA